ACCTAAGGGAGCACTGGTGGCCTAGTGGTAAGAATGTGCACTGCAATTCTAAAGGCATGTGGTTTGAATCCACCCACTGCTCTGTGGCGGAAGGATGGGCAACCACTTCCATGCCATTACTGCCTCTGAAAACCCCCTGGAGGGTCAGCTGTGAGTTGGTTCTGACTCAATGGTACACCACAACGACAACACTTACCATACACCTTGTTTTGTCCACATCATAGCTTTGCAAGTGAATTCCCTGAAAACAAAATTCACAAACTAAAAAAAATTTGCAATACAGTTCCCTCCCCTGCAGTCACTGGTCAGAAGTGCCCAGCACTTGGTGCCTGAGAGCCTGGCGGCCAGCCAGACGTCATCACGCTGATGATGCCGGAGGAAGGAGCCTTCAGCATGAAGACAGACCACCGCCGTCTCTTCCTCCCCAGCAACGCTTCAAATGATGGGCTTCCAAAGCCAGTTCTCTTCTGCTATTTCCTTAAGCAAAGGTAAATATTTGGAAAGCCTTGTAAAGTTTCCTGCATAATAGCGGAAGACAGACACAACCCATCCACCACGAGGCAGACAGTGAAAATGCAGAGAGTGAACAGAAAGTGATCTGACGGCCCACCGACAGGCATTTCTTTGTCAGCAAATACTGCTGGAAAGATGTGCAGGAAACACTGTCTAAACGGGGAAAAACAGACGCTGCAGTAAGTGACGCCGTGTGGGAGGTTTGCTACACAGTTGGCTGGAAGTACAGATGTTTCTAAAGTGTCTCAGTTTAAGGTATTATCTGGCTTCTGTTCCAGTCACGGAAGACACAAACCACTTTGGGGGGTGTGTACCAACCAGGAAGAGTCAATGTCTTGCTTATGTAAGTCATGTGACAGGGGTGAACAGAGTACATGACCCCTGGATGGGGCAGCTACTTGGAGGACTCAGTGTTTGTGGTTTTTTTTAAGAAAAAGGATCAGGGAAAGGGTGAGCATGGAGAGCATCATCCGGAAAGCTCCCTCGTGGTTCCAGCAACAATGGCAAAGTTCAACAGGGCAGTAAGCAACAGATGCTGTTGGGGTTGTGGAGACATGCAGCTGTCCACTGCTGGTGGGAATGTAAAATGGTCCATCCACGATGGAAGGTGGTCTGGTACTTTCTCGGCAAGTTGGAAATGGAAATATCATTTGACTCAGCAATTTTACTACAGAAATATACCCTAACGAAGCCACATCCAGGACTCAAAAACAGATGTATGCCCATCTGTGTTTACTGCTGCATTATCTACAATAGCAAAGAGATGGAAACAACCCAGGTGCCCATCAACAAATGAATGAATAGAAAAATGATGGCACATTTACACAATGGAATACGATGCAGCACTGAAAACTGTGAGCTCCAAAAACACTGCGCAACAGGACAAGCCTGAGGGCATTGGACTGAGTGAAATCTCTCAGTCACAAAAAAAGACAAACACTGCATCATAACACCACTGTTATAAAATAGGACAGACATGAAGGAGTTGGAGAGAGAATGGGGAAAAGTGGATAGATAATGAACACTGCAGTAGATCAGATGAGAGGAAGAACTGTCCAAAAGGAATATATAATTTAGGCATTATTTGTATGACAACAACCTGGAACAAGGGGTGCATTGCGGGGAGGGTTGAGGGAAAGGGAAAGGGAGGAAAATGTGCAAAAAATGGAAAAAAGACAACTAATAAATGGTTTTTAAAATTTTTTTAAATTACTTTTTTTTTTATGTGTGTACCGTCAAATCAGATCTGACTGGTACAGGAGGAGATTGTCCCTCCTTCTCCAGCAGAGCATCTGGTGGATTCGAACCACACACCTCTGGGATTGCAGTGCAGCTTCTTGCCACTAGGCCACCAGAGCTTGCCTAATAAATGTTTTTTTTTAAAAAAAATACAAAATAATTTTTTTTTAAAAAGCTCACTAGTGGGCTGGTCCAGGGGTAAATAACTACAGGAAAGAAATACAGGTTTGAGCACATAATGCGGAGGTTACTGCTAATCTTACTGAAATAGGCTCCCGGTGATCTTAGGTGTGCAGAGTACAACTGGGTTTTTATGTTTTGTTTTGTTGGTTTTTTTTTAATAATTTTAATGAACATTTACAGAGAATTTGGGTTTCCATTCACTCATTGCTGCACTTCTCTACCCGCCCAGCCCTCTGCCCCCGCCCCCCAGTTCGCTCCTCTCTTTCTTTTCTTTTTTAAAATTATTATTAAATTTTATTAGTTTTAATGAACATTTACAGAAATTTTGGGTTTTCATTCATTCATTGTT